TGGAATACTTTATTGGAAATTATTATAATATATCTTTCAAACTTATATACAATTGACTTTTTAATAATCATATATTATTATAAAGTATATTTAACAATTTCTAATAAAGTATTAAAAAATCTTTAATATGTATATATAATAAGAGGCTGCTATAGTAGAAAATATTATATATATCATATATACTTTCAATAATTATAATATGACAGAGTGAAACCTGAGTTGTTTAGGTTACCTTTTTGATGTATTTCATGTAAATCTTTACTTTTTATTAGAGTCAGGATTAGAAAAATACTATATTAGATATGATTTGCATCAATAAAATCCTAACTCAGGTTTAGGTTTTATCCTGTCATATTATAATTATAAAAAGCTATTATAATACAAAATAATAAACTATTGATAATTGAATATTCTTATATTTTACTGAATCTGAAAAGTTAAATATAAACTATCAAGTAAAATGATATTATATTTTAATTGTTTAAGATTTTATTATATATGTTGTGAGTAGATTCAGAATTCTATAGATCTGAAACTTATTTAAATAAATTTTGAATTTATTTATAATATATATAAGAAACTAAACTGATTTGTAATAATCATAAGATAAAACTAAGTTCAGAAAATAAAAATTATTATTTTAATTTAATAAAATCATGTTTTTATATTATCACATGATTATATAAGTCAACTTGGAGTTAACTTGAAAGGACTTGACTAAAAGTTGACTTGAAATCAACTAATCCAAGTTGTTTAATATCTCTATTAATATCTGTATCTTATATATCAGATTAATAATAGGTATCAGTATAATAAGAAGAATCAGTAGAATACAGTGTATAATTACAATAATCAGTATAAACAATATAATTAGTATCATTAATATAAACATTATATTTAGTATAGAAGAGATAATAAGTATAAGTGTTATATTATGAATAAAGTATATAAATATACATTATTGGGCAAAAATTGTTGTATAACAGCAATTTGGCTCAAATAGGCAAATGATTGGTTGCTATGTGTTACAAAGCAGCACATGCCAAACAATTATTTGTTTATTTAAGTCAAATTGCTGTTATACAACAATTTGTCTAATAATAGTATTATCTAACAATTTATGATCATAACACAATCAACTTCTAACTAATAAATACTTTGATCTAAAAAAAAAACATAAATCAGTAAAAAAAACAAATTACTGTACACTTTTTAAAGTGAAAAAATTTTTTTTTAAGATATTTGTATTTTTAAAATATTTTCTTGTTCCTTGTATATTTGCAATTATTTAAATTATTTGAATTCATTTTTTTTTCATCTTAAATATTTTTCTGTTGTGCTGAAAGTTTGAGATTGTCAAAAGGTTCTAATTTTTGACATTTGAAAGTTACTAGTTTGAAGATTGATTTTGAAAATTTGGTACTGTTTAAAGATACAAAAGTACAATACATATTAGAAGTCTAATAAAAATCTATTATAAAACTAATAAGAATTTATTATAAGATTATAAAGGAAAAAAATATCTAAAAACATTTTTTTACAATATTCAAATCCAAATCTGTAATTATGAAGGTGAATAAAGTCAAGATAATTTTTAATTCTAATTTGTCTATATTATACTAATTTCTAAAAAAGACTTGTTAACATATTTTTCTTATAAGTTAAGTATATTGAACTATTAACAAAGAAAATTGACACAATTCAAAAAAATCTAAAATTAAAGTTACCTATAAGGTTACATAACAATAGATAAATCTATTAGAAGAATTCTATTCTGATATTAAAATTGAAGACAAAATTGAAGAAATGAGCTTTAAGGAAGTCTTAGAAGACTAATTATTTAAGTTTATCTGTATAATAAAGTAATATGATAAAAGTAAATACCATATTAGCTCAATAAGAAGTTACTTAGCAGCAATTTGGCATTATCTTAATTAGTACTCTATTATAGAAAAACTAGTCAACATACTTAATCCAAAGATAAATTTTAATTTAAATAAAGTTGTTAATGAAAAACTAAAAAATCTTTCTATAAAAGATTTTGGTAACAAAATAGAAGCAGATGGACTAACTATGAATGAGGTTGAACAGATTCTTAATTATCTTATAATGCAATATAATAGTCCAGATAGATTGTTATAGTAGATTTTTTTTTTAATTCAATTTTATTAATACTATAAGAAGAGAAATAAAAAAGTCTTAAAATTAATAATTTTATTAAAAGATTTGATAAAGAAATTAATATTAAATTGTATTAATTCAAGACCAATCAGTAGAAATTTAAGGATTACAATTTGAGTAATAAAAAATGAAAACCTGTAAATTATTTCACATAATAAGTGAAATGATTTACAGGTTTTTCTTTTTTATCACTTATTTATAAATAAAAATAATCAATTTGCTAAATATTAAAGATATTATAAATTTTATTTAAGTAAATATCCAATAATTGCAATAATTAATTTTTATTTGAAACCTTTTATTACAAATTTAGATAAAATATTTATTGTATTTGTTTTTTTGGGGTTTTTTTTTATTTTTTTTTCTTAAATATATTAATTTTTTTAAGTCTAATTTAATGAACAATAGTATTATAAATATGTATTTGAAAAATAAATATTAAGAGATTATTTGTATACTATATGTGAAACTGTAGATATTCAGATCAACACTCATAATATTTTAAATCATTTAGAAAGAAAAACTGCAGTTCAACTATTGAAAGAACTTAAGTATTTTGATTCTGTTATAATGTCAATTACAAGATACAAGTTTCAAAAAGGTTTAACTATATATAAATAATCAAAATTAGTAATGTAAAGAAAAGAAATTAATGAAACTTTTAATACAATAATACAGATTTCAAATAAAGTATTAGAAAATACAATTTATATATTATTTTTTTTTATATTTAATTTTTTTTTAATATTTAATTAATTAATTATTTTATTTAAATAATAATCCTAAAGCAAGTATCAATGTCATTTTTAAAACTAATGTCAATGTTGTTCTCAAAACTACTGTTAATATCATCTGCAAGAAAAATGTCACCCCCAAGGAAAATGTTGTTCCCAAGAAAAATGTCACTTCTGATAAGAATGATATCTCTAAGAAAAATGACATCTTCAAGGATTTTATTTCTGCAAGTTTATATGTTCAATATGCTGATTCACAAGTATTATTGGTAAACACATTTGATGACCTTGATGTGTTTTCTTAGAATCATGTTTCATGTACTGTGCTGGTTGAATGTAATCATAATATTTTAGAAAGTGATGCTCAAAAAGAGACAGGTATAAATGCTAAAATAGATAAAAAAAAAATCACAAAATAAAGAATTTATTGAAAAATTCATGACAGGAAATACATTCTATAATTGTACCTTTAATTTTTAATTAAAATAAAATTTTAATTAGTATCTTTGTGCAAAATAAATTAAGCAATTGAATATTACTAATAGCAATAGTGTAAAAATAGTAAAATTTATTGGGCAAAATTTAGTTATTAGTTGTTACGTCATAACTGTCTAAAAAATAACGTGCAAAAACTGCGCCATAATCATATGTGTTTGCCGGATAACATAGTTTAAACATCCTAGGATTACCAATGATTGAGGGTGCCGTAACATGGTCCTCTGACCTCATCGCTTTTTTGAGTTCTGAAATTTACTTTTTTAAAACTTTTCGTTTTATTTTTCCTTTTTTTTTTTTAGAAAGGATTCGCTTATTATTTCTCAAGGACGAAAATATCACTTATCCAAAATAAATTATGAAGGGCAATTATAAAACATGAATGGTTCTAAAAATTTATTGTACAAATTATCGAAGGTCATCACACTTTCCATATGAATATAAAATATATAAAGTTTCGTAGCTCGTTAGGTCCAGGGCTCATTATGATGACTGGTTATATCATCTTGCAAATTAACGAAATCAACATTATTTATTTATACTATTTACATAAAATATTTAATTTTCATTTATTATAATAGAAAATACAAATAAGAAAAACAAATAAGGAGTGCGAAAAAACAGATCATAATAATTCATAGAACGATATGGTTATGTTAAACTCAGATGGTCGGAAGGTTATGTGACTGTGCCTTCGATTGGTGATAACGCTGGATTCACCCATATCGATATTTTCTATATTTGCAATGAGCGAATTGCTGATTAGAGTTCTACCAGGGTAGCCTAAATTTTATCGTAATGCAAGGCGAGAGGACAACATCGGCCAATTCTTAAGAGTAAGGCTCTAAGATCTTCCACTTCGATAATGCAGTAACAGATGATATTATAAGAAATAATTAAATCTCTACTTACGGATTTCTAGCTGCTTTTTTTAAAAATATTTTTTGTTTCAAAAACCAAACAACGATTGAAATTTCTGTAGAATGTAGAAATTACCCAATAATTTAATCCCATCTATATCTGTGGCGTTTTTGTATGTCTTTAGATGGTTCGCAGTATAGATGACCCTACTTTATAATCATTTGTTAAAAGAGTCATCTATATTGCAAGAGATCCTATCATTCAAATTTATTTTTTGTACTCATTTAGAGCATATACTAAGTTCTGGATGTTAATAAAATCGATCAAGATCAATGGGAGTTTCTTAATAGAATGTTTATATAATCATTAGCATGTTTGTTTTTATTGTGTATGAGGCTACATATTATCCTATTCGGAAATACCTTAATAATAAATTACAATGAGTATTCAAATGACTTGCTATTGTTCGTGGCAGAGAATTTCTTCAGAATATCAACTTACTATTAAAAATTTTATACCCTTTTCATCACCAATCACAAGAATTTGGGTCATTTAGTGCATATTAGAAAGGTAGATGTTCATATCATTTATAAGCCACTTTTAAACAAATGCTTTGTTCAATGTTTTGTTTAAATTTTTAAGCCATTAGAATTGAAACAAACAAACAATGACCGATGTTATATAGGATACTTCGTTTTTCATTTTTGGTTCTATCGCTATATTACTAAAATGGACCGTTATATTTTAATCAATGTTTCCAATATTTTGGCGTTTCTTTTCCTTTTAGCTGATAATGTTTATTCATACATGGAACCTAAAAATGTACGTATGCGATTTGCATAGCGTAAAATCGCAAAACTTAATTTTACGTTCTCGTCGAATCGTAAATTTCATTGTTGGTTCCTTGATTTAGGAACGCAATCCTTATCTTCAAGCGCATCTTACATACATTTCACCTGCTGTTTTTACTTTTTATATGTGGATACCTATTCAAATTTTATTAGGAGGTTTTGGTAATTAGCTGGACAAATATTGAATTATTCCATTATTATATTGATTTTAATGATTTTAATAACTCATTTAACCATGTTGAATCTAGTTATTTATCAATTTTATCCTCAAGCTGAAGAGCATGTTACTACAATCAACTGGAACTTTGTTGGTATCGTTGCGTTAAACTGCTTATGGCTTAATTTATGGGTAATTATTTTGTTTCGTATTATTTACCTTATTTTTTTTTTTTTTTACATAAATAATTTATTGTCATTATTATTAATAGCAAAGAGATATGATTTCCTTATCTTGGATTGCAATTCTTATAATGGTCTTTCAACTATCCTACATTTACTATATTCTTGAATTCACATATCAACCTTACGAGCATACTGACGAACCATTAGACGTTATACTTGACATAGCATTTGTTCATTTGCCATTCTCTTTATATCACTCATGGTCCATAGTGTTGTTAGCTATCACAACCTTCACTATATTCATGCCTGAAAAAAAGGCCGAAAATCCAAGTTTGATTGAATTAATCCTTGTAATATTTGTTTTGATATCGTTCGAATTAATAGCGATTATGTATATTGAAGCTAATAATGATTTCGCCGGTTTTGCTGGATACTTGGTAAGTTTTTTGTTATTACAATATATATAGTACGGGACATTATATGATATCCTTTTTGTTAATAAATTGTTATAACTTTTTGAACCAAATTTCTCTTTCATTTGATAGTTTTTTTTTTTTATATTCTAAAGATAGATTTTATTAAATGTCATTAAAAGTTATAACAATTTGAGATATATTTGTCGCATCTGAAGTAGCGACTTATTTGAAGTAGCGCCTGGCTAAAATTAAACCCTGAAATTAGATCTTCATGCATGCATTAGATTTTAATTTTAGCCAGGGCGCTACTTTAGATATATAAAGTGGCTACTTTAGATAAATCGCTACTTCAGATGCGACATATTCATTGGTTAATATTTAGTATTTTAGGTTTTAATATGAAATTAGGTACCATCTACTATACCGTACTATATATATTTCTAAGAAATTTATTACGCTATTTATATATGTTCTATGTATCTAAAAGAATGTTTATGTTCGTTCTTTTCAGGTTATTGCCTTTACTTTTATAGGAATTTCATATGAACAAGAAGAAATTGTAATTCATTTGACCGCTATTTTACTTTCTATTATTTCTGCCGCTTATTTTATCGTATCTTTAGTTAAAAAATGTTTAATGCCTAAAAAACAATCTGTTGAGACACAAAATGAAACTACCGATCTTACTCTCACTTAAATTTGTTGCTAAATAGTTATAGGACTAAACAAGTAAAATTATACGTGTTAAATGAAAATAATGGGGTTTCTTAGATATAAAATTAATTAACACAATATACTATGTTATTTTTTTTTACTTACAGTAGCATTTTTATAAAAAAAAAAACCAAGTAGCCTGTTAATTTGTTTAAGAGAAATATCAATACTGCATCTAAAGTTCAACCCAATTTGTATTATATTATTAATTAGATAATATTTTAAATATAAAATTAAATTGTGATACTGAATCAACAAGTTATTCGACTATTTCTTCAGTCAATAATACATATATTGTTGAAAACTAGTTTATTATAGAATATTTTGATTATCTTTTTAATATTTTTTTATTTATAAAAATTTTTACAAAGATTGATTAAATAATTGCGGCAGCTGAAGCTGTGATTTTTAATATTAATAAAAGAGTACAAATGAATTTTAGTAGGTATTATAGATTTAAATGGAGACCTCCCGATCTCAGCTTCAGTTGCCACAATAATTATTAAGAGGTAAATCGCGGTTAAAGGGTATAAATGTTGCATCTAAAGTAGCGATTTATCTAAACAGTGCATGGCTAAAATTAAGCCCATGAAATTAGATCCTCATGCATGCATTAAGTTATAATTTTAGCCAGGGCGCTACTTTAGATATACTGTATAAAGTAGCTACTTTAGGTGAATCGCTACTTCGGATGCGACATAATTATAGTAAATTTAATAGTAGAAATTGCCGAAAGTTAATATAGTTTTTATTATAAGGTTGAAATGCAGTTAACTTGCAATGTAGACAGATTATAATCGATTATGATCAGAATATGTAGTAAAAATTTATAAAGTTCATCAAACTTTGACGACAGTTTTCTTAATAACTAGTAATTAAAATTAGCTAAAATTTTTACTAAAAATAGTATCAATATTACTTTATCATATATTTAAATTTTAGCTAAATTGACTTAGTAGTTCTTGAGTAATCATTTTTATATAATAGTTAATTTTCTAAAAAATTAATTATTATATAAAACTAAAAACTATTTGATCAATTTCAATAAAATTTAAATATATTATAAAGAAAATTAATATTTTCTTTAGTAAAATTTTAGTTAATTTTATTACTAGCTATTAATAAATTGTTGTCAAAGTTTAATTATAATTTACAATTTTTTTAATAATTAATATTAATTAATTAATAATATATATTAGAATTAATTACTATAGTTGAATATAATTAATAGTATTACTAATTAATTAATAACCTTACTATTAATTATAATTAATTAAAATTTATTAATACTAATCAAATAACAATTATTTTTTTATATATTTTTTTTTATATTTCAAGGATGATCTTGCCTATGTGTTATATTTATTATTAATAATGTATGATTACATGATTATATACAATATATATCAATGAAAGTACAACTAGTCATACATATTCCTTAAATTGTATCACATACAAATTTGTCTGCATTTTTTTAAAAAATTAATTTTTATAATAAAATTTTAACAATTAATTTTAGCAATATACTTTCTAAATAAAAAACATTTTTAAAAT